AGATGCATATATCCTCTTTTATGAAAAGGAAGAAACGAGTTCGCAACTTTGAGCGTTTTGAGAAGTTATTTTTGAACTATTGATTTTAATGTTATAATGAATTATATGTTATTGTATATTGAAAAAACAAAATAATAGGCATTGAAAACTACAGCGATAGTGGACAGTATTGAATTTTAATACATTAAACTCATGAAACAGTTCATGAAACGATCGAAACTTCATAAAGTAACTTGGTTTAATTTATTTTTAAATTTTCGTTTCATTTTATCTTTTTTTTTCATTATTCAGTTATTGTGTTTCCATTTCACGTTTATTGTTTAACATAATTGATGTATTCATTTCAATTTGATATGTTTTTTAAAACATTTCGAATCGTGGTTACTTCTAGTAACGACATACTTGTTCCCAGTCCAGATGAGAATATCATTCAGAATGAACCAAAGAAAACAAAGATATCGTTTGATCCAGAAGAACAAATTGATAAAGCGAAATCACTTATTCTCTCCCCTTTCTGGGAAAACGGGACAGAATAATGGTTTAATTATATTGAAACTATCTTCAATATCAATGGCATTGTATCGGAAAAAATGGTATTTGGGGACATTTTCTCAACATTACTCTTTATAGAGAGAATTGACCGATTTAGCTTCTGGTCAAATGACGAAAAGTTGTCATCATTCTTGCATGGTTGAAGAAGTTGCCAAATCCCCTTGAACAAACAAAATTAGAGGATGATCTAAAAATCTATTTGAAATTTGTTTTTCTGTTGACCAGCTGATGAATTGATAAGCATGCCTGACGATATGATGATAACTATAAGAAATACAGGAACTTGTGCTATTTGAACTTTTCTTCAACAAAATCTTTAGAAGACAAAATCGATCATGTGATAGATGAATTGGATGAGAAATATGTTTCAAAATCGATATCTAGGATAGTATATCGGTGTAGTTCAAACTACAGATCAAAAAATCGATATTTTTCTAGCCTACTAAAATAATTCTGTTACTACTATCTTGAATTCAATGAAAAAGTTGAAAAAAATGAACATTTGCTCATCCTCTATGGAAGCATAATTTCACATTTGCCTTCCTGCATTGTACTTTTTCAGTTATATACATATATTCATGGAGGTATATAATTCACTAAGAATAAATTCATTGCATCGTTTTATTTTCCGCATTTACTTCATTACCGTCGGTTATTTAGCTACAAAGTTGTTATAATTATAAAGGTCTTTTTTTCTTTTTCGAATTTTTCAGCTACAATACATGTTTTCGTAGAAATAATTTCAAAACAAAATACAATTAGTGTCTCGAATTCTGTTAGGAGGTTTCAGGTACGAACTCTGCCGCTAAAAAACAAAAAACAGACCTAAAGACTGTGGTCCATCTGGAAAATTACACAAAGAACACAATTTACCGTACGGGGACTAACAATCGAGAGAGCGATACGTTCATTGCGAGATGTGACAACAAATGAATTGAATGCAGTTGTTAATTAATGAATTGTACCACTTACATAACGGAAAGAGCAAACATAATGAACTTGGACGCAATTGAAACAGAATCATGAGAAACGAAAATATACATGGAAGAAAACCGTACAGAACAAGTCAAAAGCAGAGCACAATGTGCAAAGTATACAGGTATGCAGGATTTCACAGGTGGCTTCTATTTTTTGGTTGGCTTCCGCCAACCTCCGCCAATCTTCAACAAAAAATTCTTCTTTTGTATTGCAATTATCCAATTTCAACTCTTCCATTTTATTTGCATGGCAGTAGACTATGTTAAATATATTTTGTCAAACTTTTTCATCATTTCATAGGCTGTTAAACATTCACTCATATATTCTAATTGTTATTCGCAAATTATCCTCAATATAATTGTTCTTGCTCTTAGATCCATTTTCTTCCAATCCGCTTCTTGATTTATATATTTGACAGGCATTGACAAAATGGCGGGTTCGTTACATTCTTTGTATTCTAGTAAAGTTAGTAGCCTCAACTTCCAACTCGAATAATTCACGCCATCGAAAATGGCAACATTATGTCTTCTTTTCTTGCGTATTTAGCCATTTTGTTAATAACTCTTACTATAATTTGCACTTTTGTAAACTATCGCCGGCACGAGGCGTGAACTGTCCTTCACAGTCTATTTTCTGATTCTGGCTTGCTGATCACCTAACCACGGACTGCTACCATGTTGGAATAGTCATGAATAATACTCGTGTTGTTGTAACACACCACTTTATTATAATATTCTCCGACCACGCCACTGCCGTAGATGCAGTTGAAAGGTTTCGAGATTATAACCAAAGAAGACCACGGCAAAACTCGGAAACCAACCTTAACATGCAAAGTTTTTAATGGAATAGAAGCGTTGGGAAATGTTAACTGATAAATAATGAAAGATATGATCAAGAAGACATTGAATGAATATGTCGGTTAATTGTCAAACCAGCTCAAGAATACTCACATGACTAGCCAAATATCCCTCTTTGGGCAAGATCATGGTAGCATGAAAACTTGCAATCGTCAACTTTCAATGAATAATCATTGTGAGTGATGTGCATCCCGAAAATTTGAGACAGCAAACAACGTCATCAATAGGTCTGAATGCCAAATGACTGATGCGTGTTTTCTAGAACTTTGAGGACACTAGAGAAATTAAACGGCAAACCAATATCAAAACCCGAAAAAGAAAATGTAGGAGTATAAGAACACATTTGAAAGCCCATCCCCAACCCGGATATATAAGAGAACTTGTAAAACGGGAAACCGAAGTGCAACAAATCATGAGGATATGTTGACATTCACCATAAATGCTCACTTTGATAGCTCACAGTAAGCGGTTGGAAAAAAATTAAATTGAAACGGCTGGAAAATTAATGGAATGAGAAGGAACTCAAGCTAGATCATCAACGGGATGACAGCAATTGTCCAAAAATGGTTGTCAAGGTTCACTAGATTCAATAAGTTTTTCTACACTCGCAAGTAGTAGAAGAATAACGGTATTGCACAAATTGATCTCACGAAGAGCACAAATCAGGATACTTCGGCATTTACGAGAGAAACTACTTGGTGAGCTTGGTGGGCTGAGAAGTGTCTTTCAACGAATTCATCGTAGTAACTGAAGAATGAGGAAATAATCCATACCTACAAAACAAAGCCTACAAATTACCATTGATCAGATGAAGAGGCGCTTAGCTAGGAAAGCTACAGAATCAAACTACAATAACCGCGATGGAGCAACTTGAACAGAGAGTCTACTGTACGAGTTTCCCCTGCAGCTAAACGGGATGCATCTTTGCTTATTCTATGAACAAATAATCGATAATTACTAGGTGAGAAATTTCAATAAACGCAAAAAGTTTGAACTCGTATGGTCTCAGTGTTACTATCTTCATTCAAGTTTGAAGGCCGTCGCAGTTTGGTACTGCATCCTAACGTTTCCCAACACCAAAGGCTGGTTTCTTCAGAGGTTTATTCATCTTGATGGTTCACCGATGACTGGTGATTTCCAGTTCGTATGTTGTATTTATGTTGATTCAGGTAGTCCGCCTCTCATGTTGATGCGTTGCTATTGGCCAAAGTTTTATTACCTGTGAATAACGTAACATCACATTGCGCCGTTGCTACTTCAGTCTTTTTTAGTATGGGATTCCAAGTCCGGTGAAGCGCTACCGCCTCCTCTTTCTATATGTTTGTGAATTTTTATGGCTTCCCGTACAAGCCGTCTGTGGTATCCATGATCGGGGACAAGTAGTTTCCCATCTTCAAACAGTATCGTGTGATCTCCTTCACTAAGCGCGTGTTCCGGTACTCCCGATTTGTCTATTTGACCTAATCTATAGTTTGTCCAATGTTCATTCACCCTTGTATCCATGGATCGTTCGGTGGTACCAATATAAACTTTTTCGCAGGTGCATGGTATAAGATATACCCCCGCAGCTGATAGTGGATCTTTTTTGTCTTTCGCAGATCTAAGGCTCTGTTGTATTTCCCAGGTGGGCTTGAACCCTGTTTTCATTTTATGTTTCCCCAAGATTTTACCGATTCTGTTTGTAACCCTAGGGATGTACGGTAGAAATGCACGTGCAACTGTTTGAGTTTCCTCCCTATTCTGACTCGTGGAAGTCTTCAGATTCATATCCTTATCGATCTCGGTTATACTGTATTCATTCGATCTCAAAGTAACTTGAAGTTGTTCCAATTCTTCTTGTAAGAGTTCTGGTTCACATATTCTACGGTCAGGGTATTGATAATTCCCCGCTTTTGAGTCTCTTATAAATACAAACTAGTAACTAGAAATCACCAGTCATCGGTGAATCATCAGGATAAATAAACCTCTGAAGAAGTAAGCCACTAGTGCTGGCAGAACGTCAGGATGCAATTCCAAATAACGACGGGATCAAACCCGAATGAAGATAATAATACTGAAAATTTTGGCCGCGAAAGCCTTAATCAACTTATATGGACTGCTTGAGGTAAATTCTGCTAAGAATCTCCATCATATTCAGAACATATTTCATTAAATATACTGTGATTTTTGTAAAACCCTCTAGTGAAAATCTCACAATGAAGTGTGTTTAGAATACGTTAGTTATGGATTTTCATCAAGTATCGGCCGATTCCATCATATACAACAATATGTTCAAAATGAAAGTTTTTTATCTTCCAAGCGTGATATCGGGAAAAAGTCTAGTTGAACTTGTTTGGCCGATCTGTGCCAGAATACAAAAACTTTGAAAGATACGAAAATGTGTTGTATGCTTACTTGTACATACCGTGCTCAGAAGCATCTTCAATGCCTATAATTATCATGCACTGGTTCCGGATAGAAACACATTATTCTCTCGATATCAACCATTTTCTCGCATATTCGACAAATTATCAACGGCCACAAACTGTGATTCCGTATGAAGTTAGTGTTAACCAGTTTCACGTACTCGAAATTGCTATCTAGAAATCTAATCAAAGACATCTTTTTTTACAGATATGCCAATAGTTACATTGAGGATGGGAATATCTCTCAATCCTGATGACATCAAAGAAGGAGACGATGTTTATTTCGAATGCTCAGTTCGTTCAAATCCCAAAGCACACAAATTATCTTGGTTTCATAATGTAAGTATAATGTAATATTCCTTATCCGAAACTGATTCGATTCTGTGCATAAATGAGATGAAATTGATGCTGTGTTAACGAAATTCCATGTTGATATCTCCTATTTTTGAAGATTTCATGAAAGATATAATATGTCATGAAAGATAAACAGATGACGTGATTGACCAAAAAATGTTTAAATTCAATTGAATGAAAAAGTTGAGCTATGTTCTAGAGATTGCATAATATTTCGAAAACATCGTAAAAACATGTGGATTAATAATTTTTTGAATATTCCAAATAGTGTTAATAATCTCGCACTACGCATTTTCGTATTTTCCGAAACCTGAAGCGCAATTGTATTATGAATATAAAGGAAAAACTAGAAATAATCAGAATATGGAAGTTGTGAATGTGAAAGAAAGATGTACATGGTATAATTTTTCTACTCTTATTTTATAAACAAGTTACAACTTTTACTGTGAAAATAGGTATTTCGTTACTTTGAAAAATCAACCCCAATTACCATTATATTATCTACTGTTTTTCGTAAAATGGCCAGTTTTTATTTCATCAACAAGGATATTTAGAAAAGCTCCAAACAAGTTCAGTAAATCAATGGTATGCTATTTTATAGGATAAACTGTTTGCTTTCATTAGATGAAGAATACCCAGAATTTATAACTGGGTATTCTTTTCTTGGACAAAAACTATTTGTGAATTCGGTGAAATCTCCGGGCAACATATAATTTTCCGCAAAATTCTCTCTTTGTTTAAACTGTGCAACATTGCAAACCCTATTTCCAAATCAATATTGATTGATTTTATATTCATTTATTATTCATTATATATCTCGATATTCTGGAGACCAGTGAGAGTTCCGCATATATCCTCATCCTTTCATATCATGCTTACATCATCAGCCATTGAGAGGAAAGCTTCCGCTCGACTAGACGCTCAAGAAAACACCTCGCAGGGCATGTATCCATGCACAGTAATATAGTGAAGTATCTCTCAAGATATATTGTAATCTACGAGCATTACAACTAGATAAAAGTTCCATCATAAAGTTTGTGAATTACTGCTTTTTATACAAATTCAGCGGAGCAACACAAAACAGTGGTATTTTTCTAATGAAAATAATTTATATCTGATTCTTTGAAAGTAATTTGTTATAAATATCGCGAACTGTATATACAAAGCTATTTGTTTCTTTGAAATAAATGAATGGCATCATCATGAAGCTTCCATAACACTTGAATCATATTTGCGTTCCAGAATGTATACATGAAATATCATAAACATTTTGAATCCGGTGAAATGTCACATTCACATCATGAAAAGTATTCATTGAAAAAATCGTTATTTCGGAGAAAAAATTACATATGACGAAAAGTAGCGCTTTTGAGTACACGAGATTTAAGTTTTTTCAAAAGTTTGATAATTTAGTTCACGACCTATTCAAACTTTTGTTTTGCACTATGTTACCTAACTTAAAGATAATGGTGTTAAGTATCAGCTATAGTCTATTACAATTATTTATGTTGAATTCTAATAGATTCTGTAGTTTGACTTGTGTCGTTTTTCAACAATAGAAATTTGTGAAATTTGGTTGTAAACTCCTCGCTTACTGACGTAGTAAAAAGGCAAAGTCTCTCCTATTGGGCATGGTAATATGGCCTGCAGATCATAAACGGTGACCTTCTCTTGCCGAGATAATTATTTATGCATCGAATGATTTTCATAAGATTGTTGGCTAGCTGCTCGTTCATCTCTGTTCATATTTTCATATGATTGGCAAATTTCGCACTGATCTGTTTTAGGTTGAAAGAAAGATAAATTGAATTCCTTCCTCATTGGAAATCCTGGCACACATTACATAATTTCCAGGTGATACACCATTCATTTCACACTCTTCNGGAACATCATTGACAGTCCATTGCATGTTGTTTTTAGCCAACAACATAAGTAAATTGGTACGTTGATTATGCTTTCCTAAAAAGAGGAGAGATATCACATAGGCATCTCTTCTCAAAAATATTTTCCAGAAAAACAACTTGTTTTGCGGCTTATTAACTATAATCATATTTCCCAAGAGAATGATCACAACCCTAAGATTGTAGTAAATTTTCTAAGTTATACGAGTTAATAATCTTGAAAAACGGCACAAATTCCATTGCTTCCATGATACTTTCGCTAACTTGATCTTCTTCTTATTAATTATTTTTTCATTAGGTTTCTGATGATCGAATTTGATCACTACTCTCCTATGTAGTATATCAGATTCCACTCGAGATTTTCAAACAAAATTTTGCAACTTCAATATTTGAATAATTGAAGCATCATCCAAAATATGTTGATCCAACTACTCCTGTGAGTTTTTCCTAAGTCGTACAATTGAAGAAAAAGATGAGCTTCAATGTAATTATTTTCTTTCCACTGTTACAATGGTCAGTGGGCTCTGTAGACTATATAAATGACTGGTGTGATCGGTACAGACAAAATTTTCAGAATATAGAAGATTCAGTAAAAAAATCCTATTTTTCTCGTACTTCTCCGGCATCAAATACGGAAGGCAATTGTTTTGGAATCATCACTTCATCACACTGTCTATCTCTAACCATTTTCGAAATCATTAGCTTCATATTTTTATGTAGCGTATTCTCAAGGTCATCTGGGGTGAAGTCGAATTTTGTTTCATATCGCATTATAAAATGCAACTGAGGGTATTGAATGTTCTCATAACAATTCTGTTCTGTGAGATTCATGAAAATACGGAAGTTTATATTCACATCTGTTTTGCAGGGAATGGAAATATTTCAAAATGTTACAGCAGGAATCATCATGAGTGACCAGAGCTTGGTTTTACAGAATGTTGCTAGATCGACAGCAGGAGATTACACCTGCATGGCGGCAAATCTGGAAGGTAAAGGAACCAGCAATCCCGTGAAACTAATTATAAAATGTAAGTATCATTTATGTAGTTTATCATTTACCCATCAAACTTGTACACGAGCCGGTAGACCACTTTGTGATGTTATCGTCCAACCCGTGGTAGAAATAGCACCGCTGAAGGAAATCAGTTGACTTTTTTCTTTTGTGAAGTTTTGATAACGTCACGCTAAGCTAACTATAGCGGGAATGATATAGAATATACCAACGTTTTTCTGAGTTAATTCCACCAAGAGCGGTACGTATCAGGAATACGCGACAAACCGTTGCTGCTCATCATTTTGAGGTTCAACTCACCTCAAACTTCACTGTTTAAGAACTCTTCCATCTGAAGAATTGCGTAATTCACAGTCATATGTTCATTAAATGCATCTCATATCGAAATAGGCACTGTTTCATTGCGAATACGGTGATAGAGGATTGGCTCCATATATTTTGTCCTGAATTATGGTTGGCAAGCTTTAAAAGCAAAATTTTCTCGTGAGTAAAGATGTGCGAGGACGTCCGTCAAATGAAAGTAAGTATGCATACTACTCTTTAACTGAGAAGGATAATAGACTGGTACTAGTTGTGTCATTGTTTCACTACAAATAAAATTTTGAAGATTTATTCATAATCTAGAATAATCATATGTTATTTACTATATTCTCCATAGTGGAAGTAACAAATTCTACCTACATTGTATTTATTTCCCAAAGCAGTTACCATTTTACAACACCAGGTAGGATAACCATTAAAACTACTGAGTAACACTTAAGTTTTGCACAAGTTCATTGTAACAGAGTCGTTCAAATCACACAATTGACACATTTCAATCAACATTTGAGGTGAACCGGTCTAATCTAAACTAATCTATCGGTCTCATCCATAATTACACGAACAAATTGCATGCATGACAAATTATTTGCAGCCACTTCTATATAATGATTTACTAATGAAACAGCGCTTATTTCCGATGTACGATTCATTAATGAGCATGTAGGTGTAAATCACTAGTATCTTGGTGGGGATCGCACCGAAGCCCAATCATCCCTATGGAAGAGCCCATAAATGACTCGCGTATTCTTCGATAGAATAGAATCAAAAACTCGAAAAATAAGTTTTTATTGGTTTTTTTTTTTTGAATTTGGACATACTAAGAATTTTGAAACTATCGGGAAGATAGTTGTAGAGGTTGAAAGTCATGAAGGTCTGATTGCTTGATTAATGAAGTTGATTTTTTATGAGTTTCTATGAGAACTCTGTACAAAAATAATGTAAGTAACGGCATTATTCTCAATTTCAAATACAGAGGTAGACAATGATCCTTATAACCAGAATTAGTAATTATCCTTCTGAGAGCTTTTTTCTGAGATTCAAAAATTTACAGCTCCAGTTGTGTTACCTCAGAGTATAACACGCTAACTAATGTTATAATGGAAAAGGGAAAAATTGTTATTTTTAGTGTATCGAAACCAGTTATATTTTTCAACTGACGCAATAAAAAAGTAGTTCTAGATAATGTTTTACTCATTTGGTCAATATAACAGGTCCAAGTGAGAGTACTATCGACAAGTAACCCAAGTAATTTAACACTGTTTGCACTTGATGTAGCCGCAGAGCTTGCTGAAAACTGTAACTGTTGCGTTTTGTCTGTATTCAGTTTGAGTCGATTCGTCACGAACCAAGTTTCTGCCTTCTCATCGACTTCCTTTGATATTCTAGATAGTTCACTAGAATTTTTGTCAGAGTAAATAAACGTAGTGTCATCGGCGAATGGAACAGATTTATATGGATGCATGAAGTTGCTAATGTCATTCATGTAAATTATGAATAGAAATGGTTCCAATACTGATCCTTGGGGAACAGCGTGTTTAACGAGTTTTAAATTCGAAATGAAATTATTGTTATTGACTGCTTGATATCTATTCGACAAATATGATTTTATGAGGGATAGAGATACTCCCCTGACGCATTGGTAATATAGTTTTTCCTAGTAATCATGCCTCAGCCACCATATTCACCAGATTTGTCCCCCTGCGACTTTTTTCTGTTCCAAATCTAAAGGGACCCATGGAAGGACGGCGTTTTGCGACGATTGCGGATATTGAAATCGAATCGCTGAGCTCAAGGGCACACCAAAAAGTGCATAGCAGAACTGCTTCAAAGATTGAAGAAAACACTGACAAGTCAACAAAACTTTCCATCCAAAAAATCGAAAAATTTTGGAAATATTCAAAATTCATTGCTGTTTTAGCAAAACTTTGTTTCAAATGCCTACTCAAAGCTGTAATTTTTACTGGATTTCCATTTGATCACTTAAATGTATTACCATTCTAATAAGGTAAGGAGTAACAGATTTTCACTGAACGGAACAAAAAAAATCGCCAACCCCAACGAAAGCTTGGGAACAAAGACATTACGGAACGTAAATTGAATATCGCTCATTCAGTCGTAAAGAGCCAGATAAAGCGTCTTCAGTGCCGAAATAAGAACGTAATAAACATAGGCTTCTGAGTTTTTCCCGCTCCTCAGGCCGTTCATAGGGATTAGCATGAAATATTTTACAAATACAACAATGGAAATTGAGAGTAGCGCTTCGAACGTGAGGAACTGAATATTTGAAGCCCTTTGGCAACCATCGATCTTCCTTATGACGGATACTTTGAAGCGAAGCTTAGTGGTTTGGATCGATTATTGGGAGACCGGGGGTAGTCGAAATGAGTTGTTGTTTTGATGTTCAAAGGATACCCGAGCAGCTTTCGTTGGCTAAGGATACACTATAAAAACTATAAAAACACACCTTTGTGTATTTTTCACGTTTGTTTTATATTTGTTGACTAGTTTCGGTCATTACACCATTTTCAAAACCAACTACATTACATTCAAATCTGAGTAATTTATACCTGCATTTCTTATACCTATCATGAATAATTTGGTACCTACATCGTCTATACCTGGATAACCTCAATTAATAGCAGTATATCCATGAACATAACAAATTTTTTTTGGTTTTGGGAACTGGGTTATAGTTTCAGGAGAGGACTATTGTTTAGATCAAATTGTTCGTTGAGGATAATAGAATTGGGATTTTTCTTTGACTTGTTTATTTCCATAGATTCCAACAAATTAATCATTTCTCCTTTTTTGCATGTGTGAAGGATTTCTAAATTATCTTTATCTATTTTATGTTTCTAATTTTGAAGATGTTCATGATATCTTATATCAAAATTCCTACCAGTTTGGCATGTATATATAGCGGGGCATTCACCACATTCTAGTCGATATATACCAGATTTGTATGATCTACACATCCATGTATAGAGTTACTTATTTTCAAATTGATTAATCCTTCCTTTCTTTGGAAGATTCTCTCATCCATTTTTTTGTATCAGATGGAGTAGTAGAAAGCCAAAAACTTTCTTTCCCAAAAAATACCAGATCTCTTCCCTCTGTCTAATTTAGGTTTGACATTGAATAATCTGTTTCTTGAATTCTCGTTAAATTTGAACGATGTTTGTAGATTGAATTTTGAAAGATAATTTTCAATATTCTCAGAGATTCTACCTGTATAATTTATATCAACATATTTGTGTTCTGATCTTGAGGAAATTGAATAAAGTTCTTTCATTACTAATTTTTGTTGATATTTCATATACAGGGTGTAACTAAATAAGTGTGAAACATTCAAGAAGATGATTCCTCATCGAAAAAAAGATAGGATCTTTCATGAAAAGAAATTTTATCGGAGCATCCCTTGTACATGAATTTTGTACAACAATTTTTTTCACAAGCACTAAAAATGTTACAATATGAAAATTAACCTGACGTTTTGTACTACCAACAAGACACTTAGCCAGGAATTTATTTGGTTTACCCCATGGTTGTTAGGGGTGGAAAACGTAACCCCTAAAATTTAATGTAACAATGTAACTTTTTGTCTTATTATTTGTTTACCATCCAAAAATTCATTTCCGATAGCCTGTTTCATTCTAAACAAAAAATGTATCTTGGTTTTTTTTGCTTATAATAAACCAGTTCGCAGCAAAAAATTATTTTACGAACAACTACAGAGATACATTGTGATAAATGCGAACTGGATTTATTGTTATTTTGTAGTTAGTACCTACTTTGAACGATTGAAGGGTAATAAACAAAACTAATTTATTAATAACAAAACACACAACATGTAGAAATCATACTAAATGTTCAGACATTACGCATGCGTCTAGACGTCGGCGCATTGAGCCACGTATTCGCTCAAATATTCCTGGAGTCTCTCTGATTACCCTGCACGCATCGACGATGCGGTTTCTTGAGTCCTCTACAGGAGTACGATAGAGAATAGAGAAATCGAGAGGATTGAGATCTGGGGATCGAGCTGGTCAGTTATGTGGTCCTCTTCGACCTATCCACTGATTTGCATATGTTTCAGTTGAATGCTGACATGCTACTTGACTAAAGTGGGCGGGAGCCCCATCATGAATAAAAAACATATTCCTTCTGACGCCCAAAGGAACTTCCTGCAGCAGTACTGGATGTAATTCTCTTTAAAAGTGAACGTATGCCTCACCATTTGATCGAGGACCAATTAAATCAACCCCAATAACTCCGAGCCACACGTTAAGAAGAAACTGTTAGTTTCGACATGAGCGTGAGTTTTTTCATCAGCCCATATGTGGTAATTATGAGAATGATCGTGTCCCGAGAAAAACTACATTCGTCTGTGAATTCTATCGCCTTCAGAAAGTCATAATTTCTTCTAATCATTTCCAGCATCCAATTGCAAAATTCAAAAAGGTTTGGAAAGTCTCGCGGTAACAGTGCCTGTACTCGTTGCAGATGGTAAGGGTATAAGAGTTGTTCCTTTAAAATTCGAAATACCGTCATATGATCAGCATTTAGCTGTAAAGCAATCTTTCTAGTATTGGTAGTAGGTTGTTCTTCTATTAATTTAAGTACTGCTTCCTCAAGCTGTGGTGTTCATACTTCTCGATGGCGACCACAATCCTGCGTTATTTTGTCTAATGAACC